GTTGGTAAGGATCACTCTACTAATAGGAAGCCTATCTTGAAGGTCTCTTACTATCAGTGTCAAAACCAGAGAGAAAAGACAGAACGTTTTTTTTTTTTTTTTTTTTTTTTTTTTTTGAGACGGAGTCTCGCTCTGTCGCCCAGGCTGGAGTGCAGTGGCGCGATCTCGGCTCACTGCAAGCTCCGCCTCCCGGGTTCACGCCATTCTCCTGCCTCAGCCTCCCGAGTAGCTGGGACTACAGGCGCCCACAACCGCGCCCGGCTAATTTTTTGTATTTTTTAGTAGAGACGGGGTTTCACCGTGGTCTCGATCTCCTGACCTTGTGATCCGCCCGCCTCGGCCTCCCAAAGTGCTGGGATTACAGGCGTGAGCCACCGCGCCCGGCCTGAACGTTTTTTAATATAACTCAATGAGCAGCAAAATCTTATAACAGATTCTGCTCTTCCTTTTAGTTCAACATCTGGAAAGCTCACCGGCCAGCACCTCCCCATCCTCATGCCACAGGAAGAGCACAGGTCGGCAAACCAGGAGGGGGAGGCCACAGCAGAAAAGAGTGAAAATTCTGAAGACATTCATAACAACTGATACTGCTCAAAGGTATACCTCATGTATAAATGAACAGATAACCATGTATCATCAGAGAGTTGAAGAAAATTAGCAACCTGAAAGGAAGGTACCAAGTCAAAGAAGCACAAATGACCTGAAGCACTGCTAATGAAGGAAATAAACAGAATTGTAAAACCTAATTGGAATCTTTAGCAGTAATTGAGAAGATACTATATCCACAAAATACAAAACAGATTACAATGCAAAAGACAATTCTAGGAGGTAAAAATAAGACCCCCAAACCAAAACAAACAAACAAAAAAACAAACAAAAACCATCCAATCAAAAAAACAAACAAACAAGAAAACCCACTTGTAGAAGGGCCGGAGCACAATGGACTTGACTCAGCAAAGCATTTGAGGTGGCTCATGTCTGTAATCCTGGCACTTTGAGAGTCTGAGGCAGGCAGATCATGAGGTCAGGAGATCGAGACCATCCTGGCTAACACGGTGAAACCCTGTCTCTACTGAAAATACAAAAATTTAGTCAGGCATGGAGGCAGGAGGATCATTTGAACCTGAGAGGTGGGGGTTGCAGTGAGCCAAGATCGTACCACTGCACTCCAGCCTGGGTGACAGAGCAAGAATTCCTCTCAAAAAAAAAAAAATAATAAATAAATAAATAAAATAAAATAAAATAAAACCCCACACTTTACAGTTACACAGAAAATCATACTAACTATCAGAAAGAACTGCGGATCAGATAGGCATGAGAATTTCCATCTATAACAATAAATATCATAACATAAAAGTGTAAAGACCTGGAAAGAAACTCAATTATGACCTCAGAATTCTATATCTAGCTCCATCAAGACAGGAATCATATCTGGGTATGTTTGCCTCGGGATTCTCCACACTGATATGGATGGGGTACTTCATACAGAGTCAAATATTTGTTGAAAAAGTGATAACACACAGTAAGTTCATGGAACACACTCCATACACATGCCCACAAACCCTTTCTAGGAAAAACAAAACCCAGGATATTATTCAGGGATATACTTGAGGGGCAGGGAGCAGGAGACATAATACAAGAAGTAGCAATAAGCAAAGACAACAGTAACGCCAACAGTGAAGTCTAAATGATTGCTGATAATCTAGCTGAAAGGTCACAGGCCATATTCTCTGACCATATTGATGCACTTAAAATACCTCAAAAGCCACCTAAAATGCTTTTTAAATTTTTTTTTCCTAGATAAGTCTTGGGTAAAAGAAGAAATTGATCCTCATGCCTCAGTCATCCAACTCCTAAGTATGTGCCCCAGAGAAATGCTGGCACAGGGGTACCGTTAAATATAGATAAAAATGATCATAGCAGCATTTGCTCTTCCTAGTAACATGGGAAACAACCCACATGTCTGTATCTAGTCAAGGGAATAAATGGTATGGTGTTTTCAAACAATGGAGTAAATACAGCCATGCAAAAGAACTATAGCTACACACAATAGGAACAAATTTCATACACAATGTTGAACACAACGAAGAGATGAAAAAATACATATGGCATGATTTTCAAAAGTTCAAACAATAGGCAACACTACACTGTATTGCTCAAGGATGCATACATGAGTGATAACACTAGAGAAACATAAGGCAAGATGAAGTGTACAGAGGCATGGTGATTGGGAAGCAGCCTGCAGAAGGTTTCTGTAGTGCAAGCAATGTGCCTTCTCTTCACCTCGGTGCTGGCTAGGTGTTGGTTCCCAAGTACTGACTCTAACTATATGTTACACTAAGCTTATGTTTTATATAATTTCAATACATGTCATATCTCACAATAAAAAGTTGTGTTTTTTTTTTTTTCGGAGTTTCACTCTTGTTGTCCAGGCTCGAGTGCAGTGGCACGGTCTCAGCTCACTGCAACCTCTGTCTTCTGGGTTCAAGCGATTCTCCTGCCTCAGGCTCCCAAGTAGCTGGGATTATAGGCATGCACCATCGCACCTGGCTAGTTCTTGTATTTTTCGTAGAGATGGGCTATCTCCATGTTGGTCAGGCTGGTCTCAAACTCCCGACCTCAGGTGATCCACTTGCCTTGGCCTCCCAAAATACTGGGATTACAGGCGTGAGCCACGATGCCTGGCCAACAGAAAGTTTTAATAGTAAGAGCAATGTGAACAGAGGTTGCAATAAAATGACTTAGAAAATACAAGCTATTTAGAAAATAGATTTTAAAACTTGTGCAATAAAGTCAAACAGCACCCAAAGGAAGTGTATACCCTTATATGTTTGTTTAAAAAGCAATTTAAATTACATTGATCCACTACACTAGAAAAAGCAAAATAAACAAAAAGGGGAAATAACGAAAACTTAAGGAAAATGTGAAAAACACCCCACCAAATTTAAAAAATAACACTAAAGGAGGATTCTTTCAAAAGACTAAGATAATAAAACAGTCACGCCTCTGATAAGTGATCAGGATAAAGAAAACCTTGAAGAGAAAAGGGCATATACCCACATGTGAATATGATGCAAAAAGTGAAAACTTTACACATCTTTAAAACACCTTAGAAGTATGGATGAAGTGCTCATTTCTTTTAAGAATCTACAGTAACGAAAACTAACTGAAGAAATGGAAAATCTGGAGACCAATACTCAGAAGAAGGAAAAAGACAAAGACTCATCTTCCAAATTGGACATTCGTTTAAACCAGGGTTTGTCAGCCTCAGCAATATTGACATATTGGGCCAGACAATTCTTTGTGGAGGGTTCTCCTGCTGTGTTGTGGGACATTTAGTAACATCCCCTCTACCCATGAAATGCCAATAAGACCTCCCAAGCATGACCAGTTGTGACCACAAAAATGTCTCCAGATATTTCCAAACCTCCCACGGGAGGCATAATATTCCTGTAGTTGAAAATTACTGTGCAGACTAGATCTACATCCTAAGTCTTAGAAAAAAGATGTCATGTTTCCCAAGCTATCCCTGCATACCCTGGATACTGAAAGGAAATAAGAGCCTTAAAGGAAACAAACAAAATATAATCTTATTTAATATAGAAGTAAAAATGCAAAAATGAAATATTACCATAGCCATTCTTACAGTGTTTATTATAGGAATGCAAGGATGATTCAAAATTAGGAAAATTTTGTCAGGTAATTCACAAATTATATTTCTCCATAGAATTGTAGGCACAATCATGAAAAACAAGGTATCTCTATATGCATTAAGTCCATGTGATATTCAGTGAAAAACACAATTTGCACATGTCTTACAGAAAAAAACTGAACACTGAACACATATTCCCACCATCTGCTCTTTGTCTTGAGGCTCCACTAGAAATACAGTGAAGAAGAAACATTATATAAATACACAATTACAAAAAAAAATGGGATTACCAACAGAAGATTCACCTTCATTAGACGATGACAGTAAATGGAAAATGGTTAATTAATGGAGCAAAGCAAACAAAAGCGGAGGTCAGGGGGATACCGATAACAAGGAAGCTAATTTGTCCCCCAGCAACCTGGAAAGGTTCTAGGCTTAGACACCAGGTACCCCCGAGGGTGGGACTGACAGGCAAGACTGAAAACAGAGATTAACCAAAAGCCTATATAGAGAACACATTTTTCAGGCACTGAAATGCACTGCTCTCCCCCATCTCCTTAAGCAAAACCCAAACATACATATCTACCTCAGACAAGAGAATGCAGATTTCATCTCCAGAGGAATGGAGTAGTTCCAGCCATCATTTATGATTGCACCGGCAGATAAGAAAGAGGGGTAGAGGAAAATAATCAGGAATCACCGTACATTCCCCCTAAAAGCTATCAGTTGCCAAGTCTTGGCCATGAAGAACTCCCAATCAATTTTTTACTTTTATTTTTTATTTGTATTTATTTAATTAATTAATTTATATAGTTATTTATTTTTGAGACAGGGTCTTGCTTTTTTACCCAGGCTGGAATGCAGGAATGCAGCAGGATGATCACAGCTCACTTCAGCCTCAACATCCCGGGCTCAAGAGGTCCTTCTGCCTCAGCCTCCCAAGTAGCTGGGGCTATAGGTGTGTATCACCACACCTGGCTATTATTTTCATTAATTTTTTGTAAAGATCAGGTCTCACAACATTGCCCAAACTAGCCTTGAGCTCCTGGGCTCAAGTGATCCTCCAAAGTCAGTCTCCCAAAGCACTGAGATTGTAGGTGGGAGCTGACACACCCAGCCTCCCAGTCTTTTAGTACCTCTCTGAAATATGAATGAACAAAAAAAGGAATTAATAATAATAAAAAAAAGAATACAGACCGGGCACTGTGGCTCACGCCTTTAATTCCAGCACTTTGGGAGGCCTAGGTGGGCAGATCACCTGAGGTTGGGAATTGGAAACCAGCCTGACCAACATGGAGCAACCCTGTCTCTAATAAAAATACACAAATTAGCCAGGCATGGTGGCACATGCCCATAATCACAGCTACTAAGGAGGCTGAGGCAGGAGAATCACTTGAACCCAGGAGGCAAATGTTGCGGTGTGCCGAGTTCACGCCTTTGTACTCCATCCTGGGCAACAAGAGCGAAACTCTGTCTCAAAAAAAAAAAAAAAAAAAAAGAAGACTACAAATGATAAGCAACATAGAAGAGATAAAATTTAAGGAAAGGCTTTAAAAAGAAAAATAAGACAAAAATAAACTAAGAAAAAGTTTATTAAAGAACAAACAGATGCTAGGGAGAAGACAAAAGAGTGTCAAAATCACTTCATAAAGACACTTGTGAACATATTACATGAATAAAACAAAAATAGAATATGAATAAGGAATAATCAGAAAAGAAAAAGTTCTTAGAACTCAGGGTTCATCTTAGGAGTTGTTCCCCAATGAGCCATACCTCCTGTCGTCATGTCCTTGGACAGGCCCATCCCACAGTGAATCTGTGTTGGCCCCAAGACTCACTTTAACCTAGAGAATTTGGTAGAAATGACACTGGACCTGTTCCAGGTCTAAGCCTTAAGAACACCTGGCAGCTCCACTTCTGTGCTTCTAGAAGCCAAAATAAGTACTGACTGTCTTCTTGGAGAAAGAGAAGCCACATGAAGAGGCCTCAGAGCATGAGATGCTAGGCAGAGTGGAAGGCCACATGAAGAAACACCAAGGCGGCAGACCTGTGGGTGAAGAAGCTGTCTCAGACACTCCACTGCGCCTGAGCATCCAGATGACCAGTCCCTGACACCGTCTAACCACACAGTGAGAGATGCCAAATGAAACCAGCAGAAAAACTGTCCAGCTATCTCCAGTTAACCCATACAGTAGTGACAGAGATAAATGTGTAGTTTTACGCCATTAAGTTTTGGGAAAATTGGTTAAACAACAATAAATAACCAAAACAAAACTTAAAGTTTTGACTGTCCAAATAACATTTCCTACAAGTCAAAAGATAAGAAAAATATTCCGGAACTTAAAACTAAACAAAAATTAGAAATAACATGAGATACAAGAGGCAAGACAAGAGGACTAAAACCCAATTAACAGACACCTCAAAATGAACAAATAAAATGGAAAGGTGAAAGTTAACAAAAATATGACAAGATTCAAGATTCCAACTTTGAAAGAGCCTATCCATAGGCCTATCCATTCGGTGTACCCAGCACAGTGAATGAGAAAAGACCTACACTAAGTACAATGTTGTGATATTTCAGCTCACCAAGGAAAAAACAAAATCCTAAAAGCTTCCAGGGAGAAAGTCGTGCCTAAATGGTGAAACTCAGGATGATATGAAGCTTCACCACCATGACTGGTTAGAACACAACAGCACAGACTTTGAAATTCTAAGGTAAAATTATCCTCAACCTAGAAATACATAATCAACCAAACTATCAATCAAGTGTGAGGGTAGATTATGACAAAAGTGAATTGTGATGGGGATGTGCTATGCACCAGGCACTGTTCTAAATGGTTTACACGTACCAACTCATTTAATCCTCATAGTGCCCTAGAAACATGGGTACTAATACTATTGCTGGCTTCCCCATTTTGCAAATGGAAAACTGATGCATAGAGCACTTAGGGACTCAGCCCAAGGGCCTACAGCTAATAAGCAGTAGAACCAAGATTCAAACCTATCTCGACTGACTCCAAAATTCAAACACTGCATTGCATTTTTTTTCAGAAGCTAGAGATCAGAAAATATGCCACTCTATGCTTCCTTTGGGTTTTACTGGAGGACACAGTCAGGGAAAATGACAAAGGGAAAGCCAAGAAAGATGACATGGGATCCAGGAAACAATGGATCTCTAGGAGAGCAGATGAGAAAAACTTCAAGATGACATCTGCACAGCCAACCCAAAGAACGACCTGCCAAAATGGGCACAGAGGAGCCAAAGCTTTGGAAGAGAAGGAGAACTCAGAGAAAGGGCTACGACAGAGTTTTTTAAATTAAAAGTTACTATTATGAGGAAGACACTGCAAAACAAAAGGCAGGACCATGAAAAGAAATATCCTATCCTAAATATCCTAGAAAACTTGGCTTTATGAAGTCCTAATGATCATTAGTGATTACTTATATGACTAAGGATAATATTTGAGGAAGGGAAAGTGGGTGGTATAACAGCTAAATTCTCATGTATTATACTAAAATGTCAATAACTAATGCCTAAATAGGTAAATCCAGGGAGAAGTTAGGCATAGTGGTGACCTAGTGGAGATTTCTGTCGCTTGCAGGAAATAACATTTGGGCGAGTCCTTAAGAAGCATAGACAGACTTAAGGAGATGGCATTTCTAGGTGAAGGTAATTCATTGAGAAAAGACAAACAATGAAAGAAGCAAGAACATTTACGGACACCAAGAATATTCACAACAAAAAGCTGGTGTTAGGGAAAAGGGCAATTTTGCCTGTCATACTAAATACCAGCAGCTCCAAAGAATGAAAAGGTTATTTTTGGTATCTAAAACAGAACAAACAGAACAATTCAATAGCTACAGAAAAACTAACTTCTAAATAAGTTGAGTAATAAAAAAAATCATCCTAGTTTGACTTTTGTTTGAGACAATTTATTTTATCTCTTGAAACTAGAGAATTTTTACTTTACCTGACCCATGGGTAGTGGTTGATCTGGCATCTCAACATCCCTGTGCTTAGGAAGGTTATATAATCTGCAGAGTCCACATATCACCGACTTCAATTGCTGATGAAGCTACAAAACACATTTCAGTAAATAAGCATTATGTTAAAGAGCCCTTAGAAGACATTAATAATGTTATGTCTACGGTAATCAATCCAGGAGGAAATAAAAAAGTTTGTTACTGCTCAACTGCAGCTTACAGATTAATAAAAACTCTTTAAAATATTTTCAGGAGCATCTAGTTTAAGAAAGTTACTCTTGCTTGGGGTATAATCACTACAACTGATACCTAGCAGAATGACAACAATAAAGACAGAGGAAGGAAGTTTCAGACATTGTCCAATTTCTCATTGCTACCTTGTTTCCTTACAAACTTACAACTTCAAACAAGAGAGCATTAATGCATTAATGAGGCTACCAAAAATAAAGAAAAAGAGGACAGGGACATGCCTTTTTTGTCTTTTATACCAAATTATAACAGGTCCTGGCAGAGAAGACACACATTTTTTTTTTAAATTGTGTCCTACTATTCAGAGTTTCCTGTATCCACCAGGGGAGAAAAAAAGTAAGTAGAAACAAGCACAGACATAGAGATTTTTTACAGTGTATACTAAAGGGGTCAGATTATACACAATATTTTATGCCTTACTTTTTTTTCTGAGTATATCTTAGAAGTTTGCACATGCTCTATGGAAAGACTGGCTGCATTTTTTTGGTCCACAACAGAATATTCTGTTATAAAATGTACACTATAATTTTTATTTAACCAACTCTTTATTGGTGGACATTAAGAATGGAGGAATGTTTCAACAAGGGAACAATCAACAGTATCAAAATACTGCAGAGGGGTCAATTTGGGGACTAAGAAGCAGCCATCGTTTTTGGCAACTGGGAGATAAATTTCAGCGCCATGATGAAGGCAGATTCCAGATTATAATGAGCTCAGTGAAAAAAGGTGAAGACTTGTAGCTTATTCTCTCGAGAAACTAGGCTATGGTAAACTGGCAGAGGCTCTAAGAGTGGGAGGTGAGTTGTTTTCTCTTTCATGTAAATATATTTACTTTTTAAAACACTAGGCCCAATTTTATATGCTACTTCATTTAACTTTATGAACATGTTTATGTATGTATCTCATGTAATGTTTTAGACACTGAAAAATAACTCATTTCTGCTATTATAAAACTAGTATCTTTAGATGTTCAGAAGCAACTTCCTAAAAGGAGGTAGCAGTATTGGAGCTATGTCTATCACTCTTTCCCATCAATCCCCTTGCTGGAGATGTAAACATGTGTCCATCAAGCCTTTAATTTTTACCTCTTATCTTCATGGCTCTGCAGACAAAACTTAACTCTTTTTTTTTGTATTTGTATATGTATATTTATATGTATATCTATATCTAGAGAGAGAGAGAGTCTTGCTATGTTGCCCAGGCTGATCTCAAACTCCTGGGCTCAAGCAATCCTCCCACCTTGGCCTCACAAAGTGCTGGGATTAAAGGCGTGAACCACTGTGCCCAGCCTCATCCTTAAATATCTTAAATATCTTAATACCTTAGATATCTTAAAATATCTTCAGACTGATGTTCTTCTGTTCTAATTTTTAAGAATAGATGTGTTTAAACCAACTCTAACTTATTTTGACAAAAATTGGAGTTAAGACTCAAACTTCCTCAAATTGTCAGTTCTCCTAAAACCATTTACAGAATAATCTATCTTTTCACTATTAAGTTAAAATACCACCTTTTCCTTACACTAAATTCTCCTTTGCATGACTCTGGTTCTAAACTTCCGTTGCCTTTATCTGTCTGGCCCAGGGCTGGTCCACGGTATTTTATTTAATATCTGCTTGAGAGTCTATACTTCACTACTTTTTAAAAATTTACTCTTCTAAACAAACTTTAGAGTCACTTTGTCAAGTGCCAAAAATAAATCTGCTGGAATTTGTACTGAAATTTGTAAATATATATATATTTTACATATATATATATATATATGTACACTCACTACTTTTTTTTTTTTTTTTTTTTTTTTTTGAGACAGAGCCTCACTTTGTCATCTAGGCTGGAGTTCAGAGGCATGATCTCGGCTTACTGCAACCTCTGACTCCCAGGCTCAAGTGACCCTCCCACCTCAGCCCTCAGCCTCAGGAGTAGTTGGAACTACAAGTGTGTGCCACAGACACCCAGCTAATTGTCATCTAACCGCCTCAGCTTCCCAAACTTTTGGGATTACATGTATGAGCCACTGTGCCCAGCAGAAATTACATTTATAAATTAATATGAAGACATGGTGATAACTAACATATTTATAACATGAAATCTGCTCATCCAAGAACATAGAATGAAAATCTTTCATTCCACTCAGCAAAATTTTGTCATGTCCTTGATAAAAGTCCTGCACATCTAAGTTTATTCCTAGATATTTAATTTTTGCTGAAATACCTGAAAAAATACTTCATCACTATATCTTCTACGTGATTACAGCTAACATTTGGGAAGGCTATTGATTTTTATATAAAAGAGCTTTTAACCAGTAATCTTAAAAACTGTTTTTTACAGTTGGTTCATTTGGATATTTTTAGGTAAACAATCACGTCAACTGAAAATAATGATCGTTATTTTTATGTAAAGACTATGACATCATGGGGAAATACAGTAAATACTTTTTAAAAGAATATAAAAGGGTCAGGGGCAGTGGTTTATGCTTGTAATCCTAGCACTTTGGGAGGCCGAGGTGGGCAGACCATGAGGTCAGGAGATTGAGACCATCCTGGCTAACACGGTGAAACCCTGTCTCTACTAAAAAATACAAAATATTAGCCAGGCATGGTGGTGGGTGCCTATAGTCCCAGATACTGGGGAGACCGAGGCAGGAGAATGGTGTGAACCCAGGAGGGTGAGCTTGCAGTGAGCTGAGATCACACCACTGCACTCCAGCCTGGGTGAAAGATCGAGACTCCATCTCAAAAAAAAAAAAAAAAAAAACAAAACATAAAACTATACAGAATACGCCTTCAACTATTTAAATATATGTATAAGGGTTATGTATTTTACCATCAAAGAAAAAACATATACTGGTAGAAACTGGCCACCACGTCAACTGTCAATAGTGGTTATATTAGGTAGAGAAATTATGGGAGACTTTAATTTCTTTCTTTTTTCTTTTCTGAACTTTATGAATTTTCTCAACAATGGTTGCTTATGAGTTTTATAATAAAAAAAGTTTTTAAAATGTTTCCAACATGAAAAGTTGTATTTCTTTATATACTAAAAACAAAAACAAAACTTCCTATTTGAATACCTTTGACTTCTACTGCAGACGTACAGACCCTTGAAAGAAAAGGGAATTCCCTCCCACTAGTTCTGGTGTCATTCTCCCATCTCTGCCTTCACTTCCACCTTGGTCTTTTTTCTACTTTCCACCTTGGCTAGTGGTCACTACCCAAAATGCTTGCTTGGCTTAATGGTTAGAATTCAGGGAAAAAGAGACCCTGAATTCCTAATCTAAACTATGGTTATACAAGTGGGAAATAATAAAGAGAATCCAGGTAGTAAGTAAGATTTGGAGAACTTAAAATACCCAGACTTTAATTCCTCTAATATTATAGTCATTACTCATGTTTTTTTTAAAATCATATTATCTCTTAACATGTAATTTCTAAATATAATATTTATGAGGAAAAGAGAAAATAGCTTGCCTTCTTTCCTTACCAAATTGTTGTTCTTAGTATCTTCTAGACATTCCAGAACTGATGTCAGATTTGGCTCATCAGAGTCCACAAACCATATTGGTGAAGAAGATGAATAGGATTCCTGTTCAGCACAGAGACACCTGTGTTAAACGTTTACATACAGACTAACCCAAATATGCAATTAAACCACACCACTAAATGGCAAGACGACCATGGATTTAATCAAAATGTATCAGGGGGAAAAGGCAACACATTAAAACCCATATGAGGCACTGGACTTCTAAGACAGCCATTCTCCTTGCATAGCACTGTCTGCTGCTATAGCTCATAGAAGTCAACAATTTTCTTCAACAGTGGTAGGCAGCCTCTAAATGGGCCGGATCACCCTCACTTCCTGCCATTCACACCTTTGTAAAATTCCCACGCCTGGACCTAGTGACTCACTTCTACCAAGGAGTATACAGCAAAAATAATAACATCACTTCTGAGGTGAGGCTACAAGGTGACTATGATGCCTGCCTTGGTCACCCTTCTCCTGCTCTCTCCATTGCTCCCTCTGATGGAAGCCAGTTGCCATGTGATGAGGTGCCCTATGGAGAGGCCCACATGGCAAGGTATTGTAAAAAGCCTCTGACCAGTAGCCATCTAGAAAAGGAGGCCCAGTCCAACAGCCTCTGAGATGAATCCTGCCAATGTGAGCTCGGAGGTGGATTATCTCCCTATCCTGCCTTGGGATGGATCTCAGCTGCCACCAACACCTTCACTGTCTGGTGAGAGGCCAAGCCAGTGAACCCAAGGTAAACAGGACAGAATCCTGACCCAAAGAAACTGAGATAATGTTTGTTGTTTTGAGCTGCTAAATTAGTTAAAGAGCAATAGATAACTAATTCAAACAACATAAAATTCTAACATTTTATTCTATCACACAAACCAAGTAATACCAATGAATACCATTACTATATATGTATTTTTGGGACACAATTACATGTGATTTTTTAAAAAAGCTAATGAACTAAGCATAATGCACTTTCACCCACTAATAGACATTTACTCTGTTGTTTTGTACTGTTTTCTATTATAAATTGGGGAAAAGCCATTATTATTATCTACTAGCTTCAGAAGAACTAGGTTCAAGTCATAGGAAACCATGGAAACCATGGAAAACCAGAAAAACAAGTTGACTGGGCACGGTGGCTCACACCTGTAATCCCGGCACTTTGGGAGGCCCAGATGGGTGGATTACAAGGTCAGGAGATCGAGACATCCTGGACAACATGGTGAAACCCCGTCTCTACTAAAATAAAAACAATTAGCCAGGCATGGTTGCACATGCCTGTAGTCCCAGCTGCTCAGGAGGCTGAGGCAGGGGAATTGCTTGAACCCGGGAGGCAGAGGTTTCAGTGAGCTGAGATGTGCCACTGCCATCCAGCCTGGTGACAGAGCAAGACTCCATCTCAAAAAAAAAAAAAAAAAAAAAAAAAAAAGAAAAGAAAAACAAGTTGTATTGAAAGAGGACATCATTAACAGTATATCTCTTCAATAATGATTTATTTCACTATTCTCATTCCTCTCTTACAGTGTCCCAAATCTCTTTACAGGCTAAAGGAAACTCTTTAGATGAATCCTATTCTTTTTTTTTTTTTTTTTTTGAGACGGAGTCTGACTCTGTCACCCAGGCTGGATGCAGTGGCGCGATCTCGGCTCACGGCAAGCTCTGCCTCCCAGGTTCATGCCATTCTCCTGCACCAGCCTCCGGAGTAGCATCAGCCTCCGGAGTAGTAGGCACCCGCCACCACGCCCAGCTAATTTTTTGAGAGATGGGGTTTCACCGTGTTAGCCAGGGTGGTCTCGATCTCCTGATCTTGTGATCCACCTGCCTCGGCCTCCCAAAGTGCTGGGATTACAAATGTGAGCCACCGTGCCTGGCCCAATCCTGTTCTTAAAGAATACCACTTACTGAGTATTGCATTTTCTTCTTCAAATTGTTCAGCATACATTGAGAATACATCATATGGACCAGTTTTAAATTTTTAGTTTTGTGTTTTGAGTTTTTTTTTCTTTTTTTCTCTTTTGGCTAAAGAAACTGCAACTAGATTTAGGACCTCATTCTATTAGGTTAGTATTCATCTAGTAAACTTCAGTATAAGCAAAATAAAATACATGTTGTTGCTCTGGACTGAAACCCCTCAAAACCATATTTTAAAAATTACAGAAACATTAACTGAAATCAAGTTTTTAAAAACCTTGTAGATGAAAAGATATATAGTAGGTTTAAGTACCTATTTCAATGGTTCACAAAGTGCAGCCCTCAGATCCCCAGGTCCAAACTATTTTGACAGGAATACTAACATGGTGATATTTTTTGTAATGGTGCAGATGCAATGGTGGGTAAAAATGCTGGTGCTTTGGCACAAATAAAGGCAGTAACACCAAACTACTAGCAGTCATGGTATGACTACTATGCACAGGAAAGGTTTAAAGGTTTAAAAAGGAAGGGCACTCCAGACATGGTGTCTCATGTTGTAACACCAGCACTTTGAGAGGCCAAGGCAGGCAGATCACCTGAGGTAAAGAGTTTCAGACCTACCTGGCCAACATAGTGAAAACCCCATCTCTACTAAAAATACAAAAATTAGCTGGACATGCTGGTTGCATGCTTGTAGTCCCAGCTACTTGGCAGGCTGAGGCAGGAGGATTGATTGAGCCCAGAAGGTTGAGGCTACAGTGAGTTGTGATCGTGCTCCTGCACTCCAGCCTTGGTGACAGAACAAGGCTCCGTCTCAAAAATAAAAAGAATGTCTATGATGAAGCAGTGAAAATCTTACATCTTAATCCTTGAATATATCTTTTCAATATTTCATGTGATGAAATGGGAAGTATACATGAGCATTCCTACAGACTGCCTGAGAAAAAACCCTCGGGTGACTAAGTCATAAAGTGAATTAACCACTTTAATGGAATACCATTTTTACTTCAAAGGATGACTGACAAAAAATGTTATTTCAGCTTGGGTTTTGGGAGACATTTTCTCAAAAATGGAGATTCTGTTATTTCAAGGAAAACAACAGAGAGGCCATAATAAAATTCAACAATAAAATTGCTGATAGTAAAAGACAAGCTTTTGAACAAAAAATTAGAATTTTAGAAAACTTATATCCACATTCGCTTTCCAAAATATTCTGATAAGATTGATGGTGATATTGATGAATGTATTTTGATACTGTATAATCAAATGTATCAACATATAGAAGATCTCAGTGAACCATTATTTTCAAAGTGACCAATGCATGATGTTATCATATCATGCAAGGGTAAAAGATCCAAAGTTCAAGAAAAATCAAGTTTTGATGGAGTATCAAAAAAGAAGCCAAGGCAACATGCCAAAACCCTGTCTCTACAAAACATACAAAAAATCAGCTAGGTGTGGTAGTACACACCTGTAGTATCAACTACTCTGGAGGCTGAGGTGGGAGGTTCACCTGAGTCCCCAGAGACTGAGGCTCCAGTAAGCCGTGATCATACCACTGCATTCCAGCCTGGGCAACAGAGCAAGACCCCATCTCATAAAAAAGAAAAAAAAAAAAAAAGAAATATCCACAATGATCTAAAATGGCTATCTGTATGAGATTGGCCTTTCTTCACATTTTTTCAAGCAAATATCACACAATAAATGGAATGCAGATGCAAATGACAAACATCAAAGAAATTTGTAAAAGATGTTAGATTGTATTACTTTGGGTTTAGAAATTTTCTTTTAATAAAAGCATTTATAACAATATTTGGTGAGCTATTAAAGAATATTTTAAATATTTCTGATTTAATTTCTAGTGATAAATACCAATAGATATAACCTACATACACAAAAGCTCCCTGGGTCATCAATACATTTTTACGAGTGTGAAGGAATCCTGACCCCAAAACTTTGAGAACTGCTGCCTTCCCCTCCACTTTCTTCCTTCCCTACAATTTCTTCCTTGGAAGAAACATTCCTTTGTCATTCTATGTTAACTTACTTAGTTCCATTGAGGCCAGTTTTGCTACCTCTCTCCCATCTTTCCACATCCCTCTCTTAACACAAAACCTGACCAAAGGACTCGACCAGCCCACCCCATTTCCAGTGATTAGCTGTCAGGTGGGCTAAGTCAAGCAAATCTGGGTTTTCTCTGAGACTAGACCTCTCCTTCTGGGAGATATGGAATCACAGGGACAAGATTGGCCACTGAGGGGTGGTCAGAATTCATCTTGCCTAAATGGGAAGAGGTTAGGCAAGTTTCTAGAATGCCAGTCTGCTTTCTAGAAAGTCAAAGATAACTCTACTTTCTGTCATGACTGTGAGAACGCCCATTTCATTGCACACTTTCTAACATTTTTACCAATCTCACATATAACAGCTGGTACCTAGAAGAAAAAAAGGCCAGGTGGGGTGGTTCATTCCTCAATCCCAGCACTTTGGGAGGCCAAGGTGAGTGGATCACCTGAGGTCAGGAGTTCCAGACCAGCCTGACCAACATGGTGAAACCCCATCTCTACTAAAATTACAACAATTATCTCGGCATGGTGGCAGGCACCTGTAATCCCAGTTACTCAGGAGGCTGAGGCAGGAGAATCACTTGAACCTGGCAGGTGCATGTTGTAGTGAGTCAAGATCATGCGTTTGCACTCCAGCCTGGGTGACAAGAGCGAGACTTCATCTCAAAAAATTTTTTTTCCATACACTATAATTTGTTCCATCTCTAGAAAACAAATCAGCAATGAGAAATGAAAGCCACCTCTTGGAACGTTTCAAGGATTTAGCTCTACCTATTGATGTCCAAAGCATTAGTTAAGGTAGAAAACACACCCACACCCACACACACACACACACACACACACACACACAGTCACTCACTCACTCACCCCTATGTATTCAGTACCAGGAAACACGAATGACTAGATGGTATAGTCATCCAACACAACCACAGAATAACTGAAGGCACTGTGTAGAGGAGTAACTTATGACACGGATCTATCATATTGCTGAGTGAGAACGCAGATTACAAAAACAAAATCTGATTGTTTTAAGGGAGAGGGAACACATACGAGCACAGGAGAAAAGAGATGAGCAGAGGACTGGAAAGATACAAAATTCTCATGGTGCTACCTTCTGAGTGGTAGAATTATCGGTATGATTTTCTAGTTTTGCCTAAAAATTTTCTAAACTTCTTAAAATAAGTTTTTGTTATCCATATTATAAAACATCCATCACCCCAGAAACTTCACCTTGAGCACAAACTCTACAATATGTTCAATGTTTGTTCAGTTTAATATTTAAGAGATGATCTTTTTTGAAAGACATCTAAAATGATGACCTATATTTAAACCTATGCATTAATATTTTTCAAGAATATGCTTTACATTTTGTAATTTTGATAAGGTTAAGCTTTATAACCATCTTGAAAAGATAAGTGTTCTATTTGTCTTTAAAATATGACCTACAATATGCCAGTTTTTCAACAGTAAATGATGGTCAAAAATAGCAATATAAATTCAGGCAGTGTTCCTTACATGGAGTGTTTAAGTGATTCTAACACTGTTCTTTTTCACCGGTTATGAAAACACAGAACAATTATTTAAGCATCTAAGTATTCAGGTCCTTTCTTTCTCCTCCATTCTATTAGTTTTATAGTAATTTTAAGGCCTGTGAGGATGAAGTTGTCTGTGACAGCTACCACAAAGCTTACTAGAAGCAGACAAATTTCAAACAGGTTTATCACCACTACCATCCCCACCATACAACTGTCTCAATCAAGGGCAAGGCATCCTCTTTACCTGTCACTGCTTAAGAAAGGATTTTTTGGTCTTATTTAGAAATAACTTTCTGTATCTATTTTTCTCCATAAATCCACTGAGACCAACGTGTGGCTCTATCTCAAGCACGAACAAGCAAAACTGCCTGCCAGTATGTTCAGTTTCTGTATATTTCTAAATGTAGCGCATGGCTATCTTTTGATATCATAATTTTTTGAAAGCTGATACAGAAACTTCTTGAAAGTTCAGCCGGGTACAGTAGCTCACGTCTGTAATCCCAGCACTTTGGGAGGCTGATGCAGGCAGATCACGAAGTCAGGAGTTCAAGACCAGCCTGGCCAACATGGTGAAACCTATCTCTACTAATACTACAAAAATTAGCCAGGTGCGGTAGCAGGTGCCTGTAATCCCAGCTACTCAGGAGGCTGAGGCAGGAAAATCACTTGAGCCTGGCTGGCAGAGGTTCCAGTGAGTCAAGATCGCACCCCTGCACTCCAGCCTGGGTGATAGAGTGACACTCTGTCCCCACAAAAAAAAAAAAAAAAATTTGAGATACACAGCAGTTGTGATTCTTCTGAAAGCTGGTTATGGGGCACATTACTTTCATACTTTGTCGTTCAATAAATATGGGGTGGAGAATAAAGTAAATTGACAGAATTATCATATAAAATAAAATTTTAAGTCCTCTGACAACAAAAGAAACTTAAAACACACACACACACACACACAGACACACACACGGTTTTCCCTGCTAATCATTTTACAACAACCACGCAGCTAACCCAGAGCCCACAAAAGCAGAATAAAAATTCTAACACTTGGTAAAATAAAATGCACATATATCCCTGTCATCTAAAAAAATGCTTAAGGATTCAAAGACAGACAGCAATTACAGCCACTGAGAACATCACTGGAAGCAAAAACTGAGGCAAGAAAGGAAAGGTGCTGATGAGGATTTGAACCACCTAAGCTGCAGAAACCCACTGGAGGGTTTCCTAGGTTCCGAGCTGGCATTATCTTTCAGAACGATCTTCTAGAAGAGATGACATAACACTGTTACAAAGGATCTGGAGAAAGGGACCCTGGCTTCATGACTCCGGCTCTCCAGTCATGCTTTACATTTTCACTTCTTACACTCTCTTTCATATGAAGTCAATTTACAGACTTCCATCAAGCCCTTAGAGACTTTTTGTACTATCCACAACAAGTTCTTGATGTTATCGCTGCACTTTTGACAAATTCTTAGCAGTTAACTTACAAGGCAGTTAAGATTTTTGTTCCAGCACAACATAGCTAGGATAGGGTCAGACATTCAACAAAACAAATATTTCCCAAGCATTTATTGAGTGGGAGATAAAAAGCACAAAGCATAATTATAAAACATTCTCCCCTGCCACCATAAACATTTTTTTAAAGCCTTACAGAACACAGCATAACATGACCAAAGCAAAAATAGTAAGGACGAAAGAGGGGAGGAAGGGGAAATATCAGCATGAACTAAATATGACCCAGGAGAGCCTTGATGGTCAGACATGCAAAGCCAAATTGGGTAGGGTTAGGGGGTGGCTGTCAGGGGCACATTCTATAGGGGAAAAATAGCTGATACAGAAGCCTGAAAGGAAAAGCGGGCAGAGCGCCTGTACAGGACTCTTACCTGCTGCATCCAGGGTACAATGCGCCTTTCCAGAAGACAGCAGGGGCCAGCCTGGCCCTGGGGAGAGGGATCGCTCAAACAGCACCAGAGGCTGCATTCCAACTTTTCCTCCCTCAAGGAGTCCATTTTCATTGTTAGTTTCTCCTTAAACACAAACTTAAAAACGATTGGCTGAACATGCAGGAACAAGGAAAACCTGACTGAAGAATGAGGCCTTTACACTTAAGGGCCTTGGGTCCTCCTGAGGTGGCTCAGGTCTGTAATCACACAACTTTGGGAGGCAGAGGTGGGTCATTTGAGGTCAGGAGTTCGAGACCAGCCTGGCCAACATGGTGAAAGTAAACAACACGAAAGTTAGCCAGGCATGGTGGCGGGCGCCTGTAATCCCAGCTACTCGGGAGGCTGAGGCAGGAGAATCGCTTGAACCCATGGATTGTCAAGAGAAGAGGCTGCAGTAAGCCGAGATCGCCCACTGCACTCCAGCCTGGGCGACAGAGTGAGGCTCCATCTCAACAAGCGCCTGCCACCATACCCAGCTAACTTTTATATTTTTAGTAGAGACAGGGTTTTACCATGTTGGCCAGGCTGATCTAGAACTCCTGACCTCAGGTGATCCACCCCCCCTCAGCCTCCCAAAGCGCTAGGATTACAGGAAAGAGCCACTGCGCCCTGTCAAAAAACCGAAAATCTTAAAGGCCTTTCCCCTTCCACGCCTGGGCTCAAACAACAGCTGGAGCCGCCCTGCCACACCCAGTCGCGGTTCTGGGGAGCAGGCCGGCTGACTGAGGGCGATCATGGGCCCCGAATGGGCTGCGGGCGACGCGGGCTCCCAGCTCGGGGCTCGGGGAGGAGGGCGAGAGGTGCCGCCAGCCCCCCGCAAGGAGATCCAGAGACGCGCCCTGCGCCTCCTCCCACCCAAGCCTCCGGCAGTCCCGGCGATCGGGGCGGGCCAGTCACAGGAGAAAGGGGCGCGTTTGCCCCGCCCGGGGAACCCGGGCCTCTCTCGGGCAGGCTCCCCTTTGTCCGGGTACTTCCGGAGCCTCCTCTCCGCCCTCGCCCTGCCCCTTGGGGCCGCCGCTGGGCGCTGACACGGACACCGACACACAGACGCGGACATCTTACCCTCATCTCCGGCGGCAGGGGCGCGGAAGGTGAGCCGGTGAGGAGCCGCTGTTATGGCCGCGACCACCCGGTGGGGCCGCTCGGCGGCGCTCTCGCGGCTCCGCCTCTTCCCGCTGCCTTGACTCCAGTTGGAGCACGGCAGGAAATCCGCAAGGGACACCGAGGCCTCTGCCGGGAGCTGTGGGGCATCCCCTGGGCGGCTGCTCCCCTTGTAACGGACTCCACCGGCAGGAAGCGCGGCTCCTGTGAAGTGGCAGCTTAAAAGGGCAACAGCATCACCGCCCAGCTGCCGCCTGGGAAGGGGCTGCCTCCACCCCGTCCCCCTCCCTCTCACCCCTCATCCCTGACCCCTCACCCCTCACTCCCGCGCGCCCCGTGAGCACCCATTTCGGCGGATGCAGGAATCCAGAGCATGGGCGCGCTTCCGGCTGCCCTCTGCTCGCCTTGACCCAACACTACTGGACCCATCTGGTCCGTTCCTCACACTGGCAGACTGGAGGCTCCTGGCGGCACAACCACCAATGTGTGTGTGTTTTGGCGGGGAGGCACAAAACCACCAACTCGTGTGTGTGTGTGTGTGTGTGTGTCTCCGTGTGTTTGTGTGTGTCTCCCAAGGGAACAGCACTGCTGAGTTCAGGCTGAGTATTAGCTCGTGGACTGTCAGCAAAATACAGTGACAAGAAGGCTATGTGCTGTTTTGTCTTTTGCAGTGACATCATGTTTGCAGTGACATCATGTTGCTCATGTTTTATGTTTTTCAGAGTTCATTAGTTTCTGTTTGTTCTCAGTTAATATCCAACTCAATAGATTGTGTAAGTAGAATACCCCCTAACTGAAAGTCACCTACATAAAATATAGTGAAAAATTTGTCACCCCCTTAAACTATAGTTGAAAACATGTACTCATGAGTTTTGTGTAGCCAACACTGGATACTGGGTAAGGGCACAGGATCCCAGGGCTAGACTGCCTGGGTTCAAGTTCCGATTTAGCCACTTGCTGGCTTTGAAATACTTGACAGGTTTAAGCCATAGTTTCTTTCTTTCTTTCTTTCTTTTCTTTTCTTTTTTTTTTTTTAACTTAATCCCAAATGTGATAGTAAGTCTCAGTTTCTTGGTTTGAAAAACAGAAATTATTCCATGAGAGCCTATGTGAAAACTTTAAAGGTTTTAAAGCCCCTATCTGGCTCAGGAAAGCCCTCAGCTTTAGCTGTTAAAGTTTTAAAAGCCACTTTAAAGTTTTTAAAGCCACTGCCTGGCTCAGGAAAGCCCTCAGGTTTAGCCATTAATAGCTATGATGATTATTGTGCTAGCTACACATGCATTAATGAGGCAGGAAAATGCTCAAGGATAACAACCGATACCCAGATTATGTCATCAGACCGAGACAGATGCGTATGCGTGCATGCTCATGTTTTAGCTCGGAGCCATTTGTCTAAAAGGCTGTTGAACTCAGAGGCCCAGGCAGTATCAACTTTACTTTGTAGTGGAGCCATCACTTTTGTTAATCAATGAAATTGACATAACGCTCTTTGTTTCTTTTTAGCACCAGCCATGTGCATAGAGTTAACTGTGTCCAGAAGAGCATGCTTCAAGTGGCTGGAGTGAGCAATTCAACTTGTGGAGGAATGAGAAATGATAGTGTTGAGACAAGAAACACAAAACCCCGGGGTAAGATAGGAATCACTGAAAGTCAGGCAAAGGAACTGGCATCCAGTGATGAGTCAGGCTTTGCCAGCCTCTGGCCCTACAGATGGCTCTTTGGAGAGGAAAAAATTAAGCCAGGCCCAAGGGCACAGATCGTAAGGGAATGCTGGCAGCTCTAGGCTATCTATGAGAGTCCAGATTTGCTGCTTCACCCTGGGGCTTTAGGCAAGTCCCCTTTCCTCCCAGAGCTTCAGTATCCCTTCTATCAAATGATGATGTTCTGCCTTTCTCCTAGGATGGCTGTGGAGATCCAGGGAGACAGTGGCCATAGGGATGCTATGTTAACTGCAGATGCAGCTAGGAGCACTTTGCACTTTGCTAACGGCCAACATGAGTTCAGACTCTTCAGGCTATTTGGCACCCAGGTCTATGGTGAGGTGTGACATATGAGATGTAAGGTTTGATGCCTGCTCCGACTCCAGTCTTGCTAACACACGCTAAACATTTGGCAAATCGTGACCCTACCTTGGGGAAAAGGGCATTCTGGGAGAACTTCTTCAAGGCAGGCTGGCTTCAGTGCAGTCCAGGGCATGACTAAGATAGGCTTACATGGTGAGGAATTGGAGGATAACTGGGTAAAAAGCTGCCATGGGCAGAGGTGTAGTGTGGGTCGCATCGAGGATAGCCCCCGGCCAAAGCAGGGAACACAGACAGAATGAGGAAGAGCTCTGTGGGGAAGGTGGGGCATACGGTGGAGAACCTTCAAAGTCTGAAGAGTATGACTTGTTGGGGTTCAATGCTGTAGGCAGTAGGGAGCCATGGAAGGCTCTTAGGTGGAGAAATGACAGCTGGACATTAGTGAGCAAGCCCCGTCTCCATGAGCAGCATGGGTGTTCCTCTGAGCACACCAGGCACAAGTGTGCAGGGAGCTGGTGCAAATGCCTCTGTGTGCGGGCGAGCATCTGTGTTGTGACTCTGCCCACGCATGTGCTTCAGTGTGCCGTGTGGCTGCACGTCCCAGATCCATGCGGCACATGCCAGCCGGTGAGGGTGCTGGGCACCTGCAGGTGGCAGAGAAGGCGGAGTATACGTGTTGTTTGTGGGCATGTGTATTAGTGTGGGCATGCGGGCCGTGGGGCCTCACAGCATGTGTGTGCACACTCCGGCATGTGCCTGTGTGTCCCCCACCCTCAGGCCTGCCCCACCCATGCGTGTGACCTGCCATGTGATTTGATGCTGTCTTTCAGAATCACTAATGGTGGGGTTCAATGAGGAGCGCAGCCTTGGTAGGTATATGCCTTGCTGCCTTCTGCTTGAAAGGTCTGCCCGCCCTGCTGCCCCAGCTCCACACGGGGGGCACACCTGGGGACTAAGAGCCAGGCTCCCTGCCCCTCCCTTCTGGAGCTGCAGACTTGCTCTTTCCTCTTTCTGTCCTTGTGCTGCTGGCTGTCTCACTTCCCTCCCTGCGAGCCACAGGACTCAGTGTCACTGCTCAAGGTCTCCATGGCTGAGCCTGGGGGCTCTTAGAACAGGCTCCATGCCCAAGCTGGCAGACGTGAAGCCATCAGAGAGGGCACAGAGCTCATGCTTTATGGTGTAGGGGCTGGGAGCTTGGAGGGGGTTGTGTGTAGGGCTGGAATCTGAGGCGGTCAGAGGCCTAGGCACATCATCCTGGGCACGCTGTACCTGTCATACAGTCTGAGTCATGCTGCCAGGGCAGGTATCCAGCTCCCAGCCTGGGAGTGCCGAGAGCCAAATCCACTGCAGATTAAGGGTGATAGTTAGGGTCCCATGTCCTCTATCTGTCAGCAATCTAGTGGTGATCGAGGATAAAAGCCTGAGAGTCCCATACACACAGTCATCCCACAACACACTTCACAGACCAGGCAGGGACACACAGCCCCCTTCCTTCCCTCCCAGGTACCATCATAGCTGCTAGTGTGGACTGAAGGCAGGGTCCCTGGCCCCCACTGAAGCACTACTGCCGACCAGCAGGCTCACTCACCTTGGCCTGTTGCTCCTAGGGGTCGCCTGTGCTATTCAGCCAAGGAGACCACAGTGCCTGCTGGCCCAGCCGAGCTCCGCCTAGCGAGCCCACCTGCCTGTCCTGCCACGGACTCTTCCTCTTCTGCTTTTCCCATCATAAAGGGCCCAGCCTCACCTATGCAACCTGCAGCCCCCTGCCTACCAGTTGAGGCTCCCCTCTTAGACTTATAAGTCTATGTCCAGTGGCATCCGGCTACCTGTCCTCCTTGCCTTCCCCAGGGTCCCTCAGAGGACCCTGAGCTTTCTGACTGCCCAGAGGGGCCTCTGGTGCTCACTCCAGCCATCCATCCCTTATAGCTTCACCATTTTGTTTCAAGCAGTGTTCCTTCCCTATCAGGCCTGGTGGCTGTTGGGTGGGGCTCCCCAAGCAAGGGGTGGCCCTGGCCCAGTGGGTTGGAAGACAGGGTGACCAGAGAAGAGGGAAGTCCTGGGGGCTGGCATTGGTCTGAACTGTGGGTGGACTGCCTGGGTGCCATGAGAGAGGTCAGCGTGTGTGGGGTGGGGAGGGCCGCCACAGCCCCCGGGCACTACCTACGAAGCTCTGGCTTCTCCCTCCATCTTCCTCCCCTTTCCCTTCCAGCCTCTCTTTTCCAGGAACCTTGCCATGCCCACACTTACACCTTCCCCTCCCGGCCCTCTCACAGCTGCTACGGTGCACCCATGCTCTGCCCTTGCCTCACCAGCTCTGGCTTTTCTCTAACCTGTTTCTCTCTGCGCTCTCTCCAATGCCAGCTGATTGGGTCAGGCAAGTCCATCCCGTCCTGAGAGCCCCAGGTCCCACTTTGACCTCTGAAGTGATGAACAGATCCTCCTCTTCTCAGAGACCTCCCTTTCCAAGCCTGCCTGGGTGGGTGTCCTGTGACTTGACAGTGGCTCCAGCAGCCCTAAAGCCAGCCCCCTTCATCTGTGACTTAGTCTGTTGTAGTGGTGAGCTGACACATCCAGCTGTGACCATTGCTGAAAACTTGTGCCCCCTCTGTGGTATGCCCCTGCCCTGTTCTATAAATAGCAATAAATTCTCTCTCTCACACACACACACGCACACACATACACGCACACACAGACACACACATGTGGCCGACTGCCTGGCCTCTAGCCCTGGGAATCAGTCCTTGTGCTGTCCTTGCGGAGTCTTGTGGCCCAACAAGAGGCAGCTGTCTCCTGACATTGCCCCTCCAAAGTGCACCACCTCCAGGGAGCCTCCCTGTCATGCCCGGCCTGTGGACAACCAGTCCCCGCCATCCTTCCCGCCTTCTGGGCAAGCATGGGGGTGCTGTGCAGGCAGCTGTGTGGACTGACACCTGCTGTCCCTCGGCTGAGACTCCAACCCATTTCTGGATGACAGAGAATGTATCCTCTGCTGGCTGTGCTCTCTGTGGAGCTCAGGGGAGGGAAAAGTCCAAGCCATTTTTAGGGTGCTTTTGGGAGCGGTGAAAAGGTCACACCCTTTCCAAGGGACTGTTTTCCTAGAAAGTCCCTGGAGCTTAGCTGGCTCTTATCCTGTGACGCCGGCTCTGGCCACTAGGGGTCAGCGCCGTAAACTCAGCCTGGAGGGTGCCTGCGGGGCAGCCTGCTCTGGACAGACAGGCCACCCGGTGCAGACAGGAGAGGGAGGCAGGGGGATGGAATGGAAGACACCTGGAGTGGGTGAAAGTCAGTGCCCTCGGGTGCTGGTGGTGTCTTCCCGGCCACAGCTAGATCAGTCTTCTGAACCTGTTGGCTGTCAGGGCTGCACTGTGCCCATTAGGCGCCATGGCCGTCCGCGTGAAATCCACCAGGTGTCACCAGGCAGCATCCAGGCAACAGGCCTGGAAGATTCCCAACACCCAACTGGACATGCTCAGACACTCTGGGGCTCGTCTTTCAATGGGACAAACTGCAGGACCCGCTGAGGGAAACGGGAACATACCAGGCTGAGCAGTATAGCTAAATCCATTTATTCCCAAATAAAAAGCAAAGAAAACAGGAGTCCCATCACCGGGGAGCCATGACTCCATCCCTGCCTCCTTCCTCGCTCCTATGCTAGCAATAAATAAGTTTCCCAGCTGCAAATAATTATAAGAACCTCTTCCTCATTTGCCAGCTGCAACCTCTACTAGGTACGATACATACAGAATGTTACACAGATACAGATGTACATGGGGGAAGGGCGGGTCACCCCCGGCAGCCTGTGCCCTCGCCTGGTCTACAGTTAGCTCCACTGTCCTGCCTCAGCTGCCTCTCTGAGTAAGAAGATGGGAGCGCCCCTGAGGGAAAAGTAAGGAGGCCATCATACCTCCTCCAAACAAACCAACTCCATCAACCTCTGGTTCTTAAATAACAAACATCATCATCCAGAAATGTAAGGACTCAGCCTTGGTCAAGGTGGTAAAGGGTCTGTTTTTCTCCCTCCATTAGACAGGAGTCTTGTGTTGCTACCCTAATGGTAAAGGGGTGACTGGGAAGGGGTTGTAGGGACACGGTGGGGGTGAAGACTCCAGACCCGCTTCCCCAGGCTTATGCTGACAGGGGCCTGCTCTTATTTATTTTTATTCCATGATATTTATTTTAATCCAGTAACTTCTTTTTCATAACTTTAAAAAAAAAAACTTTCCATAAAACTTTTTTTTTACTTTTTTCCACAACTTTTTTGCCACAACTTTTCCACCGTATTTTTTATCCCATAACTTTTTCATCCCACAACTTTTAATTCCTGTAACTTTTTAGTTTATGTTCTTTTAATAAACACACTTACATAGTTACAATTTTGTGAGAATAAAAACTGATTATCTCATGCCAATGTTCCCGGCATTTGCACAGTCTCAATACCTTTAATACTATAGTTTTCAAGACACACAAAATTTTAAGGCAAAAACAGCACCTTGCAAGAATTTCATAATTTGTTACATTACAGTAGCATCACAGAAGCAGTCAAGAATGCCACTTTAGACAAAAGTCAGTATTTCCATTATACATTCTGTTTACCAGAAATCAGAAGTTGGCAAAAGTAATTCTAAGAAAACTTGGCAAATAAAGGGTTGGACTGGAATTGGCATTTCTTTCTCTACTTTTCCTTCCCCTAGAGTCTTTGTTTTAAACTATGGTGTTCATACTTTAAAATGTTTTAACTTATTTCAAGACATTAATACAGCAGTTACATTTTTGAATAGTTATTTGAAAGTGACTGCAAGATAAAGTTTTAGAGAAGCTATTATGGATGGGGTGATTTACATTTTCATGTTTTGTACAAAGCAGCTTTGGTTTTAGAACTGAGTTTTTTTCATTTTGGGAAAACCTATCAGGGTTAATCAAACACTTTAAAAATAATTAGCATATATTGCAGTCTTTCAATAGGCATTTTGATTCTTTACTTCCTACAGAAATTCAAATTTATTCAGTTGAACTCACACTTTAAAATTCTGTGTTTCTGCTGAACTCTAACCTTCTAATGTTGCCTTCTAAGCAAATTGAGAGCTGCCTTATACTGAATGAGGAAGAGAACAAATACTTGGCTGAATGAGGTATTGCAAACGACTGCATGCACTGAGAAGTAAGACTTAAGTTATTGTCATGGATTTCCATCTTTTTAGCTTTTTCTTAAACTTATGACAAAATACCTACACAAAGAGTGGTATTTCAGGTAAGATAGCACATTTATTTTTCAGATTGACATTCAGCTTAAATATGCCAGTATGTGATTTAATCCATAGGTACCTGATGAACACATTATTATCAGATAGGTTACAGATGCTAAACGCTATCTGAAGGTCATTCCTAGTCATTTATATGTGTCAGGGTAAAAGTGAAGTGATTTGAACTATCAAAATACCTTTGAAATAATGTATCAATGTATTAGAAAAACCCAGTTTCAGAACGATAAAGAAAAACTGTTAGACCAAATAATTTGGCTAATTAACAGTGGTACAATCCCTTTTTAGGTCACAATCCCTTTTTAGGTCATCAAAAAGGAGTACAACTGCCCCAGCTCATGATGTAATATCTTCATGAGCCCAGAGCACATTCAAATCCTAAGGGGAGTACCATAGTAACGCACTCATTCTTGGCTCTGAAACAAATGAAACGTATTCTATCCTGCACACATGTGCCAGAGCAGGCCACTTTCCTCTTTTGGGAGATTTAAAAAGCTCCCCAAAATGTTATTACGCCCATCCCCAATACACAGAAAAAGAGGGAAAGGCTCTCTCCACTGCTCCATCTTTAAACAACTGTAAATGTCAGTACTCACAGTGACACATTACAAACTAATAAATAGCGCACTTGAGGGCAGACCACATATTGAGCTAATGAAGAGCTCACTGTGATTAGGAGTCGATCAAGCATAATAGCAGAACATAGGCAAATTTTATTCGAATTCCATAATGAACATACATGCTGCAATAACATTAAAAATCATGGCAGCCTATTCCAAACCAGCAAGAACAGTTTTGTGCATATAGTGGGTTTTTGCATGTTTGAACTCCCACCACATAGGGCAAACTCGATATGCATGCTAATGACCTACAGTTATCAAATAAAAAGAAAAATGCTAAAGGATGACATAGTGAACATGAGGGAAAGACCCACTCTTCTGTAACTTTTTAACAAATAAATTTAAATTAAGTTAGAAACACAAATAAACATGAGTGGCTCTAACATTCAAAGGAAGTAAATGAATTGTGTAGGATATTATCCCCTAAACTTTGTTTGTTTGTTTGTTTTTAAATTTCTTGACCAGCTCTTAGATGATGGTGATGTTTATCTCCCTGATCTCGGCACCGTGAAAAGAATAGCATGCAGGGGTTGCTGCCCAAGCCTCGGTGCTCCTGGGGAGTCCTGCGTCAGAGGAAGCAGCTGCGCGACCTGCTGTGCAGTGGGGTTGTCGTGGGGAGAACCCTCTCTGGCCTCTCCTGGTGCAGGCTCCACGCTGTCAGTGAGGCTCAGCCACGAAGATCTTCAGACAGAGGGAGGAGGGGATCTGAGGTCAGTGTGAGCCTCCCCTGCTCCTGCCCGCCCACCCCGCCTGAGCGCTCTACTCACCACCCTGCTTGTCAGCACACCCAAGCTCCAGGGGGATTGGGGCTCCTAGAGTGGCCTGATCACCAGGACTCTGGGCAGTGGTCAGGAATTTGTCATGCCCCTCGTTGTGGTCGCCCACAAGCCGCAACACCTGTCCCTGCAGCTCCAGCAGGTTCACCTGGAGGGAGGGGTGCTTAGCTGTCATGCTGGTGCCGGTGTCCAAGTTCACCCCCACCGCTACTCCCACCCCCACAGAGATGTTGCACACGCTACTTCCATCTCTTGGTCCTGGGCCAGCCTGATGATGTCCTCCTCTCCCAGTGCCGCATTTTGGCACTGCCCCCTGGCTGATGTACTTTCCTGCAGGAGGACACAGCTCAGAGGCTGAGGCCCCTCTGACGGCCCAGCAGCTCCCCCTGCCGTATGCTGGCCTCCTGCTCACTTACGGTGTCTGTCCCGAGAGGTGGATGAATCGAAGCTCCGGTTACTCCACTGGTTCCTTCGGGTCCACCTTGTCCTCCATAAAGTCGCTCTGGAGCCAAAATAATGGGGTCACATCTCAAGAACCAGCTGCCTTGCCCCACCCACACCGTTCTTGGCCCATGCCAGGACCTACTCAGCTGCACCTTCTCCATGGCCCCCTGCAGGGCTCAGTGGGTCTCCCCACACACAGACTCACCCCCAGTCCCTGGGGTCCTCTGGGATGAAGCCACTGGGTGAGCCAGGCACTGGCATCATACCCTTTGCTCTTCCTGGGCACTGGCTCCAGCGAAGTTGAAAAATGCCACCTGAAGGCAAGAGGTGAGTATTCTTGTAGGGACATACACAGAACAACTGGGGCAGGGAGGTGGAGCGCAGCCCCTTCCCTTGGGGCTCAGAGTGTGCACCTGTTGGTCACAGGTGAAATGATGTTTGACCACTGGCTCCTGGAAGGAGTGAAAGTCCACAGAAATCAAAAGGCAGGGAAACCAAGAACATAAGGGGATCTGGGAGGGACCGCCGAGGAAGGTGACAAAGTAGGGGCAGGGAAAGTCAGGCTCACCTGACCTCCAGGCTCTGCAGGTCCCCTGGGATGTTCGGCATGGGCTGAGGTGCCTCCTCTTCCTCACTGTCCAGATGTCCTCCTCCATCTCCTCTAGGGGGTGGCCAGAGGGGTCCTCAGACAACACAACAAGGGAAGTACTGGGGGCCCACCTCTGCCCCCACCCTCCCTGTGTAACCCTGAATCAGCCCATTCCCAGAGAGGAATGAGCTGTTCTTTATTTTTACTTTTAAGAACCAAGATCTTGCTATACTGCCCAGGCACAGTCCCACTACCGATTGGTGCCGGAGTCCTGACCTGCTCCCTTTCTGACCTGGGCCAGTTCTCCTGTCCTTAGGCAACCTGATGGCCTCCTGCTCCCAGGAGGTCACCATATTGATACCGAACTTAGCGCGGACACCCGGTCGGCATAATGACCAGCTGTCTTAAACGTCTCTTCCAACTCCTCAATCCTATGCTGCTAACAGTCCCGCTTTCCTCCTGGGGCTCTCGCCTCTTCCTCCGAGTGGTCTCCCGTACCTTCCCCAGGGAGAGCCATGAGGCTCAACTGGGCTTTAGCTGCTGTTTCTGCTGGCTGGTAGCTTCCAGGTGCTCCTAAGAGGCCAGGAAAGAGGGTGAGAAGGCACGGAGGTTGCCAGGTTGTCCCTCTCGGGGCCCTGTCCTCAGCAACTCCCTCCCCGGGGTCTCCTGCAACTTTTGGCAGGCCATCTTAGCCACTGCTTTGCCCTGAGCTTCCTGCTGCTGCAGCTGGTCCAGGAGCTGGGTCTGCAGCAGTAACTGCCTGTGCAGCACCTCCTTCTCAGAGGTCAGCTGCTGATAAGTGGCCACCTGCTGCTAAGCGACCACATACTGCTGCAGGTGACACAGGTACTGGTCTGCCTGCTGCTGCAGACTCTGAGCCTCTTGGCTCTTCAGCTCCACCTGCAGGAAGACCCTGGGCATGAGGGTATTTGCTAGCTGGCTTCCGGATTCCTGGCCCATTAATAGGGTAGCAAGGGCACTGTGGGGCTCTGTGGCCTCCCCAGGCCCCTGGTCCCTTGCTCCAGGCCTAAGAGACTGCCTTCCTTGCCTAGAACCCCATGCGTCCTTCCCCAACCTCAAATCTCACATCCTTTTCCCCACCATTTAAACTGTAGGCCACAGACTGGTGGAATAGCAAGGAGAGCCAACCACCATCTGCTAAGTGTACTACATGACTACTGTTTCCATATGTTATCTCATTTAATCCTCAGCACCTCTGCAAGGAAAACGCTAACTTCCTTTTGAAGTTAAAGAAACAGAGACGTAGAGATGCAAGGTAGTTGAATGATAACCAGTGGAACTGAGGCCGGAATCCAGTTTGAATCTAAGGAGTCTTTTTGGTTTTTCCATTTGGTTTTGTTTTGAGACAGTGTCACTCTGTGTCCCAGGCTGGAGTGCAGTGGTGCGATCTCAGCTCACTGCAAACTCCACCTCCTGGGCTCAAATGATTCTCATGTCTCAGCCTCCTGAGTAGCTAGGATTACAGCCATGCACCACCAGGCCTGGCTAATTATTATTTTATTTTTTGGAAATTGTAGTAGAGATGAGGTTTTGTCATGTTGGCCAGGCTGGTCCCAAACTCCTGACCTCAAGTGTTTCTCTTGCCTCAGCCTCCCAAAGTGCTGGAATTACAGGCATGAGCCACCACACCCGACATAAGGAGCCTCTTTTTTTTTTTTTTTTTGAGGCAGAGTCTCGCTCTGTTGCCCAGGCCGGAGTGCAGTGGCCGGATCTCAGCTCAGTGCAAACTCTGCCTCCCGGGTTTACGCCATTCTCCTGCCTCAGCTTCCCCAGTAGCTGGGACTACAGGCGCCTGCCACCTCGCCTGGCTAGGTTTTTGTACTTTTTAGTAGAGACGGGGTTTCACTGTGTTAGCCAGGATGGTCTTGATCTCCTGACCTCGTGATCTGCCCATCTCGGCCTCCCAACGTGCTGGGATTACAGGCTTGAGCCACCGCACCCGGCCAACCTCTTATACCACTGTCTCTTCCCCTGTGACTCGAGGGCTCCATGCCTCTAGCTGGGTTGATGATTTCCAGATCTAGGGGGAGCCCAGGGCTCCCCACCTCTAAAACTCAGAGGGCAGGAAGCAATAAACAGTCATAGGACTGCCCTGGACAGCTCTGGGGTCACCTGCCCCAAGGCTGCACCTGCCTCTGGCCTGGCAGCCCCCCCTCCCCAGAGACTGGTGCCAACCTCCCAGCCCTTCTTGAATGGGTCAGAGTTTACCGTGTCTTTCAACTCGCCCAGCTTCTTCAGTTCCTCTACTTGCGGCTCCAACTGCAGTGTGCTCTTGTTCTCATTGTTCTGGACAGAGAGAAGCAATCATTGGCCACCCACTATTGCTGGAGACCCCAGAACTTGGTGTCTGCCTCCCATAGCACCAGGAAGGGTGGAGGCAGGTGAGAAAAATCATCCTCTCTCTCCCACAGCCATCAGAGCAGGGCTCTGGCTCACAGGTGCCTTTAGAAGTACAATTTTATGTACATTTCAAGTACAATGCCCCATTTTATAGGTGGGGAAACAAAGGTCTGGAAGGCTAGGGAAGAGGGCAGGCTCCCCAGGTGGGGCAACCTACCAGCTCCTGGAAGCTGCTGTGTGGCTCCACCTGCTGCTCGTAGAGGGCTTCCCACTCCAGCTCCAGCATCCTCTCCAGCTCCCGTAGCCTCCCCAGCTCCCGCAGTGTCTCCTGCTCCCACAGCCTCTGATCCTGCTCCCGCAGCCTCTCCTGTTCCAGCATCTCCTCCACTTGGTCCAGCAGCTGCTCCTCCTCCAGCAGCCTCTTCTGCTCCTCCTGTCGCCTCTCCCGTTCCAAAAGCTTCTCCACCTGCTCCAGCAGCCTCTCCTGCTCCCGCAACCTCTCCTTTTCCAACAGTTCCTCCACCTGGTCCAGCAGCTTCCCATGGTCTAGCAGCCTCTCCTGTTCTTCCTGCCACCTCTCCTGTTCCAATAGCTTCTCCACCTGCTCCAACAGCCTCTCCTGCTCTGGAAGCCTCTCCTCCTCCTGTAGCCTCTCCTCTTCCAGCAGCTTCTCTACCTGGTTCAGCAGCCTCTCATGCTCTAGCAGCTTCTCCTCCTCCTCCTCCCGTCTCTCCCGTTCCAACAGCTTCTTCACCTCCTCCAGCAGCCTCTCCTGCTCTGGCAGCCACTCCTGCTCCCATAGCCTCTCATCCTGCTCATGTATCCTCTCCTCCTGCTCACGTATCCTCTCCTCCTGCCCAGATAGCCTCTCCTCCTGCTCATGTAGCTTCTCCTCCTGCTCACGTATCCTCTCCTCCTGCTCACGTATCCTCTCCTCCTGTCCAGAGAGCTTCTCCTCCTGCTCATGTAGCTTCTCCTCCTGCTCATGTATCCTTTCCTCCTGCTCATGTATCCTCTCCTCCTGCTCACGTATCCTCTTCTCCTGCTCCTGCAGCCTCCCCTCCTGTCTCCTGTTCAGGAGATTCAACATCTGATTGTTTTCCACCTCAGCCTGGAGCTGTCTTCCTAGACTTTCCAGCTCCTGCCTTAGGTGTTTGGTCTCATCTTGTAGCTGCTCCACCTCAGAGGGCCCTGCTGGGGGATCTGGGGCCCGGGGTTCAGCTGAGAAAGGAAGCAGACAATAAGGGCCTCTGGATTCTCAAAAAAATAAAAAATAAATAAAAAAATCCTCCCATTGGTGCAGAGCTCCTCCTCTCAGGCTTCCCAAACTTGGCCTCACTGCTAAGGATTCCTCGCACCCAGATGGTAGCCAATCTTCCAAGCCACTTTCTGATGGAGAGCACTGTGGGTGGCTGACAATGGGCACTTCTCCCTCTTTGCTGATGGGGACACCAAGGCTGAAGCAGATGACAAGGCTTGCAGTCTCCTGGCACAGACCTCTCTCCCTCTGCCTCAAAGCCCTTCCATCCACCCACCTCCCTGGGGCATTCTAAGCCACCCCCACAGCCCTCTGATGCCGGTCCTGCTCCCAGGTCTCGCCAGCCCCATCTTACCCCTCTGGTTTTTGAGTTTGAACAAGCTCCTCCCAAGCTTCTGTACCCGATGTATCCTATGCTTCTTCTCCTCCTTCAATGTGGGAACCTGCCCAAAGCACAGGGCGAAAGGGCCCTGGTGATAGGGGCTGGTAAACCTCTAGAGATAGAGTTTGAGAAAGGCCCCCCCGTTCTGCCAGCTTGTGATTTAGAAAGGTGCGTTCATATAACAAACATGTGCTGAGCACCTACAGGCCAGGTGTGGTTCTTCACAGCGGAGATAGAATACAGAAAAGGACAGACAGGAGCCCTTGGCCCTGAGGTTTCCATTCTAGGGGCCTTTAAATCTCGGACTCCCAGAGCGAACAGAGACCTTTGACACTCTCTACCTCCTCCAGAAACAGGAGCCCAAGGAGGAGAGAAGGCTTGTCCAGACTCAAAAAGCAAATTAGGGACTGAGTCAGGGCAGAAATATGGGCCCCTGACAAACAGTCAGGCTAGTGCTTCCCTGAGAGGCAACAACCCCAGGGAGTGTGTGGCAAGAACTCAAGCGGGGTGTCTGGAGAAGAGAGAGTCAGCAAAGAGGGCAGTGCAGAAGAGCCATGCTGCACGTTCTGTGCTCTGGGGTCCATCCAGGTGAGGCCTGGGTGCCCCAGCTCCCCATTTTCCCATGGCACCAGGGGCCCCAGCCCCTTTCCTCAGGGCCCCAAGGGGAAATGAATACAGGATTGGCAGCATGGAATCAGAGGACGCCACTGGACTCTTCACAGTGAATGGATGTTTCCACTGAGTTGACTGATTATTAGGGAGCTTTGAGTCCGGGGCTCCTGCTAGTTCTTGGTACTGGCTCTGAGGTGCATGCAGAGAGGACGAGTTGGAGGATTGCGGGGAGGGGTGGAGAGAACAGTTATTAGGGCTGCGGAGGGGTGTGTGTGGGCTGTCTCAGCTGGCAGAGGGGCAAACAGCCCCTGCTGTGGGAGGAGGTTGGAGGGCTGGCCTGCAGGGTCACTGAACCTCGGCCCAGGGCCTCTTACCTGCAGATCTTTCAGGGTAGTAGATGACACAGGGCCCTCCCCGTAGACACCTGTTGCTGACTACAAGAGATGAGAGTGCACATGGAGATGTTCTGTCCCCCTCAGTGTCTAAGCCCTCTGACTTCCTTTCTTCCCCATCAACTGACAAAAGTTTCTTTTCTGTGTATCTTGGAACCTTTGTCCCATAACTCCTTTGTGCCAACTTCTCTCATGGTTTTCATCTCCCCACCATCCCACCCTGGGGCCCTTTCAGTGACTCCTAAAGGGACAGCCTGATGGCAAGTGGCTCTTCTCCTTAGCCTGGCTTCCCCTTGAGACTGGAGATGAGGAAAATCAAACAGCAATGACCATTTCCTGGGTGTCCTGGGTGTTTACAGCAGACCATGTACTAAGGATTCACATAAAAGCAACAGTCCATCCCGAATCTTAACAATTATCCTCTACTGCCCCTTGGGCCCCCTGTCCCCAGGAGCCTGGCCAGCCAAGACTCACATCCCCAGGTGAGTGGTAACCACCAGAAGCGGCGGTGTCACGGCTACTGCCATTGATCTTCTTTTTCCTGTTAGATCCTGCTGGAACGCCAGGGCTCTTCCTCTTCCAATATTCTTTTAACTGTGGGAAAGAAGAGCAGTGACACTCATGAGAACTATCAGCCCCTACAGCCACCTCCTCCTTCACAGTTTTGACAAAATACTCTTTTTTTTTTTTTTTTTTTTTTTAATTTATTTATTATTATTATACTTTAAGTTGTAGGGTACATGTGCATAACGTGCAGGTTTGTTACATATGTATACTTGTGCCATGTTGCTGTGCTGCACCCATCAACTCGTCATTTACATCAGGTATAACTCCCAATGCAATCCCTCCCCCCTCCCCCCTCCCCATGATAGGCCCCGGTGTGTGATGTTCCCCTTCCTGAGTCCGAGTGATCTCATTGTTCAGTTCCCACCTATGAGTGAGAACATGCGGTGTTTGGTTTTCTGTTCTTGTGATAGTTTGCTAAGAATGATGGATTCCAGCTGCATCCAAGTCCCTACAAAGGACTCAAACTCATCCTTTTTTATGGCTGCATAGTATACACCATCTGATTTAATGCCACCACCAACTGTACATTGTGTTGTCACAATCCTTTAGTGACTGAGAGAGATTGATATCATGGTTAGAAAAAAAAAAAAAAGAAAAGAAAAGAAAAAAGAAAAAGGCAATACTGGAACTTAAACTCCATCTTCTGACTCTAAGCTCTGGGGTTTTGCCATGAATCAGCAGCTGCCAGGGACAAAACCGGGGCAGAGTTCAAAAAGTAAACATGAAGCAGGCAGGAACTGTATGCCATGTGGTTTAGAGTCATACATCTTCACAAGTCCGTTAGTGTGAAGAAGTGCACCAGTACCTCTCACACTTGCATATCAATGTGTCCTCACAGCAGAAGGCAGCTTTTCTGTTAAATCTGGGAATTTTTCAGAAAGAGGACAACCCAAGCTTGATTTCAGAGAGAAGTCTGGTATATGCTTCAAAACCTATGTGACTGTCATCCCTAAGTACATTAATGTTTTATCTCAAGAGAATCAGGTGAATCAGATGCTTCAGAAAGATGTCCCACATTCATCCTGTGGCACTCAAAGTACCCCAGGTTGAGATGATATGAGGAAGATTCAAGCTGTCTAGTTCAGTTTCCCAAGATCTACTCCACTGAAGATGAGCAAATCTCACTTCAGAGACCACTGACTGAAGGATAGTCTGGTCCCAGAATTGTGGAGAACTCAGAAAAGAATGTTAAAGTCTCTCTGCGAAGTAGAAGCCTGGGAGAAAACCAAACCAAACCCGTTCTCCCATGGCCACCCAGAGATACTGTCAACGTTTTGAGCACACAGGGGAAGTGCAGGCTTTTCCCACTGTCAATGTCTATGTGAAGGGAGTAAGGCAGTCTGAAACCCCTTGCTCCTGGTTCCCACAGTCCCCATTCCCCTTCCAACTGGAAATTTGTGCTGTGACCAGAGGATCCAGAAATGGGGTGAGAAAACTTAGGGGACTGGGTTGTAAGATGAAAGGCTGGTCTTGCAGCAGTAATGACAGTTCCTAGGGGGACTGTGACATCACTACATTCCATTCCTGCCAGTTGAGGGGACCACATCAGTGCAATGCCCGAGTTGCCACTCCAAGATTGGGGAGGGAAACACAGGGTTCAGACCCAGGTCCTTAGAGACACCAGCCCAAGAGCCCAGGGAGGTCGAGCTTGGGGCAGCAGGAGGGGAGGGCAGAGTCCGCAGTAGGAAGAACTGGGAGTCACCAGCCCAAAGTCACCCAGGGAAGACTGGCGAGTGTGGGGCCTGGGCTGGGGGACCCAGGTCCTGAGAGACACAAGCCCAAAGAGCCCAGGGAGGTTGGGCTTGGGGCAGCAGGAGGTGAGGGCCAGTGTATGGAGGGGGGAGCCCCCGGAGTCACCCGCCCAAAGTCACCCTGGGGTAAAGATTGGCAAGGGCAGCGATTGGGCTGCTTGCTGAAGGGGTGGGACTGAGACTCTTTCAATGGTCTTGTCGTTGGAGGTGATCTGTGGTTGGGTTGGGGACTATGATCTGGTGCGTTTTACCTTTTTCTTGGCTGCGGTGAATTTTCCCTGTCGTGTTTTTTCTGACATCATGGGGTTCGGAGGGAGGCGGGGTTGGGGTCACATCAGCGAAATCCCAGTGAGCACGGCTGAATGCCTCCAGTCACCTACCAGGCCGCTGTGTAACTGAGCCAGAGGAGGCGTAACCAGGGCCCCACTAGAACTCAGAAGAGGGGCGTGGCCTTAATGCTCCAAGCCCATTGGTCAGTGAGAAAGATGAAAGGGAAAGGAGGCGTGGCCAGGCAGCAGGGAGTCCAGAGGGACCTGTGGCATCACAAGGAAAGCTGCCTATGCAACAGCTGTCCCTGCCCACTCACAGAGAGGGGAGGGGGCCGCCCATTCTGGGAGAGGGGAGGGGCTGGCCTTTGCTTTAAAAGCTTTCAAACTGTAAAAAATAAACTTAAAAAGGTATATGTGTGTATACTTTATATATAGATGTGTGTCTGTGTGTGTGTATCTATGTTTTCCTCCAGAGCTGTCTTCATTATCCAGCTTCTATGCAAAGCCTATGATTTTGGCCTATATTTTTCATCTTCAAATGGAGTTCAAGAATTACCAGTATCACCTTCACTGAGATACAGATCCTAGAAAAATGGAAAATCCGTAGCATGCTTGATGATTAATGAAGCAGACTATAGTATCAACATTCCAATAAGACAAAATAATCACAATGATTTCTCTTTTTTGGAAAAACGTTTCTGTTATTCTCCTACTTTATTAAGATTTTTTTAAAAATAAGAAACATGTCTAATATCTTTAAAAACACAAAACTTTTGGGCGAGGTGCGGTGGCTCCCGCCTGTAATGCCATCACTTTGGGAGGCTGAGGTGGGTGGATCACCTGAGGTCAGGAGTTCAAGACCAGCCTGGCCAACATGATGAAACCCCGTCTCTACTAAAAATTCAAAAACTAGCCATGCGTGGTGGTGGGTGTCTGTAATCCCAGCTATTTGGTCGGCTGGGGCAGGAGAATTACTTGCACCCAGGAGATGGAGGTTGCAGTGAGCCAAGCTCACGCCCCTGCACTTTAGCCTGGGCGACAGAGCAAGACTCCATGTCAAAAGAAATAAAATAAAATAAAATACAAAATAAGTAAGAACACAAAGCTTTCAATTGAATAAGCAATTAAAACTCTCTACTGTTTTAAGAGAATACAAGTCCCATTTTTCTAGAGTCGCCTGACCTCTCTAAGCCTTGCAAATGAAACTGAATTACTCACTTGATACTTGGCTATGATTTGCAATCATGAAAACCGAGAATTATGTTATGTCACTGTGTACTGCTTGTTCCCTGAATTCCACACTAGGCTGGGATCAAGGGTTGAATCTTTCATGATTTTCTCCATAACTTGTGTGCTTCTTATCCCAGACCAAAGTAAACTTTTTTCTAGAGTTCTACAATTTACAGTTAATAGACAAGAGTGGTTCTCAAAATGTAGTCTATGGACTAGCAGCACCAGCAGCACCTGAGATCTTTTTACAAGTGCAAATTCTTAGGCCCCACCCTCGACCTGGTGAATCAGAAACTCTGGAGTAGGGCTCAGCAATCTGTGCTGCAGTAGTCCCTCCAGGTGTTCAAGAACCTCTGGCATACAGCAGGTAGAAAAATATGTTTCCTTCTGTAGGTCCAAAGCCAGGGATACCATATGTTCTGCCTTGTTATGCAACAATGACATGCAATTAAAAGACATAAATCTCCTTCCTACTCCCACCCTCTATCCAAGGTGTTTTATTTTTATAAGTACGGTAAGAAAACAAGTGGCAATCAGAGATTTGGTCTAAAACATATATTTACAAGTGTCAGTTCTCGTCCAGCCTGATCTCATACAGAACCATTTATATCCTCTTACATCTCAAGTTTTAAAAATGTATCTTCACAATGTGAGACTCAGGCACACTCGCAGTTCTATAACAAAACACCAAGTAGATATTTTCAAATTGCATTCAACAGGAAATTTAAGTTTTGAATTTTTTTTTTCACCTTCATACTTCCAAGTTAATAGAATTAAACCAGAATATGCCATTCTTCCAAAGCCTCTAGCCAGGCAAAGTTTTACTGTATTATTTCTTGCTTTCAATGGATATAAAGCAGATTCCTGGTAGGTACATTTTGTATACCTGCAAAGATGCAGAACAAAACAGTTCCATCTGTTCAACATTAAAACAAAAGTCCTGTAAACCTTGGATGGTGAGTGTAATACTTCAGCATTAGCCCCAAAGCCTCAAATATGAAAAGATACCAAGAACACCACTGCCAATCAAAACTAAACTCTCGACCAGGAGCAGTAGTTCATGCCTGTAATCCCAGCACTTTGGCAAGCCAAGGTGGGAGGGTTACTCGAAGTCAGGATATGAAGACTAGCCTGGGCAGCATAGTGAATTAACATCTCCACAAAAAAATTTTAAAAATTAGCTGGGCATGGTGGCACACAGCTGTAGTCGTAACTACTTGTCAGGCTGAGGTTGGAAAATTGCTTGAGCCCAGGAGTTTGAGAGAAGCTAGGGTAACATAGTAAGACCCCATCTATACAAAAACATTTAAAAATTAGCTGCCCATGGTGGCGCATGCCTATAGTACCAGCTACTCAGAAAGTTGAAGCAGGAAGATCACTTGAGCCCAGGAGTTCAAGATTACAGTGAGCTACGATTGTACCACTGCACACCGACTGGGTGACAGAGTGAGACCCAAGCTCAACACACACACACACACACACACACACACACACACACACACACACCCCACCACCACCACCACCAACAACAGCAACAAAAAACAGGGGAGGGTGACTAGGCTTACTTGGTTGGAAGGAATCACAATTTAAAATACAATCATTAGAAAAGACCTCACCGAGAAAGAGATAGTTAAGCAAAGACATGGAAACAGTAAGTTGTACCACAATGTCATTATCCCTGACGCTCCAAAGGTTCATGGGAGAGCGATGATCTTTTAAAAACCATTGTGTCAGGACTCTTTGTTGTAAATGATAGGAAAATAGGCTCACCATGACTTCAGCAAGAAGGGAAAATGTATTAGCTCAAGGAATTGAAAAGTCCAGGTCAGGCTGGATTCAGGGGTCAAACGTCATTGGGACACAACATAGTTCATTTTGTATTTCTGCTTTTTCTGTGGTGGATTATTTTCTAGTTCCATTTGGAGGTAGAATAGCTATCAGCAACCCCAGGCCAACATCCTACAGAGTTTAAGCCCAGAATGGAAGAGGGAGTGCCTCTTTACCAGCAGTCCAAGCAAAAGTCTCAGTGCATCTTATTGGGTCACAGGCTCATCTGGGCTCATCTGAACACTTGATTATGATCAGGATCATATGGCTCTGATCAGCTGGGCTCAGTCACCTGCCTAACCCTGGAGTCACAGGGAGAGTCAACATACTGACAGTAGTGGAAGGTGGGGCCCCGAGGAAATATGGGGTGTTGACTGCAGAGTAGAGAAAGCAGCAAGTATCCATGATATCAGTGATCTAAAAATTTCTTTTATGACCTTGTGTAAGTTGTTGATGCAGTTTGCTCCATGCCTAAAGGGTGGTTAATAGCAGATTACAGATTCCTCCCTAAGAGACAATCTACAGACAGCATAAGCTCCTTCAGTGGGACTCCTGGGTTTCTGTGGTCTCCTATCTCTACACAGGACATGTGAGCAGCACATTCACAAGCTCTCAGACCTTCAAGGGTGGCTAGATGTGTGGTTTTTGACTGTGACCTCTTTTGCTTCCTCCATGGGCCTTAGTGAGCCACATCACAAGTGCCTGACATGCCCAGTGTCAGAAGCTCAAGGCTTTTAGAGTCTAGTTCCACTCAGACTGACCTGTTACCTATGGGGCCTGACAACATTCTAGAGACATAGTCCTAAATTCTGAAAACCTAGTCCACTGCTTGAGTAGAATCTTGGTGTTTTTCTAGGAAACTCCATTTTTACACTTTGATGTTAGACAGTCCTGGGGCTAGATTTTGACTCTATCATTTACCTTCTGCAGGACCCTGAACAAGTCATATGACTGACTTCCTGAGCCTCAGGTTTCATATTTGCATAATGAGGTCATTAAAATGAGTAAATAAATGACCATGTATAAAGAATCTAGTAACAGCCTGGCATAGTGTGGGAGCTCAGAAAATTTCTTTCATTTTTTTCCACTTCCCTGCTCCTTTTTCCATGAGGCCATTACCAGGCTTCCCTAGAGTCCATGTTATGCAACTTGCAGATAAACCTGTCAAATAAAAAGGAAAGGAATGAAACGGATGGGTAAATGAACCCTGGGGCAGAGCTGGGGGATGTGTAGTTGAGTGGAAAATCATAGGCTTTGGAATAAAACTGAATTTTAAATACAGGCCTCATCCGTTGTTAGATTGAAGGCCTTGGGAAAATTACTTAATATTCCAGAGTACCAATACCCACAATGAAAAAAACAATTACTGCTGTTTATGGTGGTTGTGAGGGTTAGTTGAAATAATGTAACCTGGCACACAGTAGGCCTTTGATGAGTCCTAGTTCTCTTTGTTTGCAAAAGTAATGTAATACCTGGGTGATAGTGATTGACAATCAAGACACTTACACACAAAAATGCGCAGAGAAAATTATTTTCCTGAAGGATCAAACATCCAGACTTTTGCTTGTTCTCCTCCCTTTTTGCTTGTGCAATTTTTTCCACTTATGTTGGAGGCTGGGCAATAAAAGTCAGTCAACAAAGCTGTACTGACAACCTGTCATGCCCAGGGAGAATACTATGTGTTATGGGTGGGAAACCAAATCAGACATAATCCTTGTCCTTGAGAAGGTTTGACTTAATTAGGGGAAATAAAACATGCAAAAGAGGTTATTTAAAATGCTTATGAGCTAAATAATAGCCTGCTGACCAAATGCCAATGCCAAGGTAGACCATGAAGGAGTGACCAGGATTGGGTGTGAAAAGTCAGGAGGGTTTCTAAGGGCAGAGATTAGCAGGGAAAAGAACCCCCAGCAGAAGGCTGGAGGTGGAATGAAAAACCTCCTGCCTGTGGGATAGTGACCTCACTGACTTATCTGCACACCAGGAAGGCGTTGTGTAGAGGTCCTGAG